TTCTTCTCTTTCTATTGATAACATCCTTCCTAGTCTGTCGTATTGTTTGATATACGCATGGTTGAAGTGTTTATTTTGATTTCTTATGATCGCAATATTAATATCATAAACTAGATTATAATAAGTCAACAGATCATAAAAAGAAAGACGCCTAATAAAATTTCCACAAATATTGTGATTTTGTTTCGGAAGTAATTATTCTTTAAGCTGGAGTAAAATTCAAAATGTAATTTTACACCAACTTTTAATAATAATATAATTCATCGATAATCAGGTTGAGTCAAGGTCTTCCAAATAAGATTTTGAGCTTGCTTTAAGTAACTGCTAACTTATTTCAAAAAACAAAGATACAAGAGGGAAATAAAGCAGTTGTCTCAGGTTTAAATGAACTAAGAGTAGACCTTTTTACATGGATATTCAATTTTACAGCAAAATTATATAATTTCAAAATTTATATTGTTATTTTGCATTAACGATTACCTATGAACTAAATTACATTATAAATTCGTCGGGAATAGAGATGGAAAAAAGTAAAATCACAAAAATACCGAACTCCGAGGAAAATTCAAAAAGGAAAGTCCCTAATCAAATGGCAAAATCAAAAGCTCAAACACATCAAACGAATGGATAACAACTGTCATATTCCTGACTTGGTACAGGCATTTTCCTATGTAGAAAATGGTGGATTGAACCTGGTTTTATAGCTAGCTAAACCTCTCACTTGTATGACAGTCGCATCTAATTCCATTTTATTGACAACGATGCGTGAACAAAACAAACAGACACAATAGGTAAAAATGTCAAAAATAAGGGTACAGCAGTCAACATTGTGTTATCATCTTAATCACTATAAAAACAAACAAATGTAACGAAGAAGCACAAAAAGACATACATCAAATTTAACATCCTCATTTTGCTTTTTTATTATACGATTTTATTTATCTATGTAAAATCCATCCATAAAGGATGGAAGGTTTTAAGTACTGGCGTGAAATCGCGCGTTTGAAATTCGCACAGGTAAACATAAAATAATTTTGTCGTTCAAAGTAAGACGGGATACATAAGTACAGAGTCACGTAAAATGGATATCACAAAAACAGACTTAACAGTAAAAATAATATTAATAAATAAAATAATTTTGTCGTTCAAAGTATGACGGGATACATAAGTACAGAGTCACGTCAAATGGATATCTCAAAAAACAGACTTAACAGTAAAAGTAATATTAATAACGACAAATAAAAGAATACTATAACACGTTATTAAGATGATAAACAACGTCAGTACGCAGAATCTATACTTGTGGAAGGCATGATCTTTTGCAATGGCCATGGTTGGTTTGTAGAGAATTACATAAAAGACAATAACAGGAAAGAAAGGATTTGGTGCATCCATTCATGACAGGAAACCACTACGTGTTAAAGAAAATACCAAACAGGAACGAAGCTTTTAAAGATAAAGTGATGCCTCCATCATGGAGGACAAACTCTCACCTCACTGCGTGTTCATGGCGACCCCTTGCCTCGGTTTGAGCGGATTTTTTTTCTACATGTCGATCACTCTACATATATTTATTGAGGAACACAGCTGCGGGATAAAATCAATAAATTATAAATCATTTCTGGCAAAGAAATCTAACATTCCAACGAATACTGTTAGAAATTTCCCAACAATATAATTATAGAGTAAAAAACACCAAGTGCAAATATTAAGACAACTACTGGGAACATAAAGATTGTGCAAGATATCTAGAGAGAAAATAACATATGAAAAGGGCTAATATTGCGGTTGGACTACATATCAATTTCAATACATTACCTTGTCGAAAGTGACAAAATGAAGATGCATAAAATAGAGAAGTTATCACAAAAGTAAATACCTCATCAATCCCATGCATGTTAAATGTGTCACAGCCTACACAAAGCATGAGAGACAACAATCTGTTAAAAGAATGGAAAGAAAGGATATGGTGTATCAATTCTGTTCTTCCTTTCAAAGTCAATGTAGAGCCTTTAATTTAGATCAAACACTCTAACCTCACAGCATGAAAAAGAACCCTTTAGTAGTGATTTGAACGGAATTCTTTAATTAATGTTGATCACGCTTTATATAAGCATTAACGAGTAACTGTGGAATAAAATCAACAAACTTTCAATTATATCCTCCCCAAAAAGTATTAGGGAGACAATCCCTCAACTTGTGTGATTTGTTTATAATAAGTCAATAACAATTAAAACTGCAGTTACAGAAACAACTTGATCAAGAATATATAGAGGCACTTAATTTGTATCAAATATATGTAATCACTATCTTGATGGCTTTAAGGTTATTGCTAGAAAATTACGTGTTTTTACGAAAACCACACATTACCTTTTATATATTAAGGAATTTTGGGTCCTGAATGCCCTTCAACTTCGTACTTTATTTGGCCTTTGTAACTTTTTTTTATTCGAGCGTCACTGATGAGTCTTTTGTAGACAAAACGCGCGTCTAGCGTACAAAATTTCAATCCTGGTATCAAAGATGAGTTTATTTACAACCACTGGGTCGATACTTTTTCTTCTCGAGGGTATTACCAGCCCAGTAGTCAGCACTTCTGTGTTGACATGAATTATCATTGATCTGGTCATACTTATAAATGAACTAAATAGAAAATTTTAAATTTTCGAAATACTAAGGCTTTTCTACCTCAGGAATAGATTACCTCAGCTGTATTTGGCAAAACTTTTATGAATTTGAGGTCCTTAAAGCCAAGACCTATTGGTGGCTTTGTGCTGTTTTCTGCTCTTTGGCCGGGTTGTTGTCTCTTTGACACATTCCCCGTTTCCATTCTCAATTTTATCTTTAACTTCGTACTTAATTTCGCCTCTTTATATAAAAATAAGAAGATGTAGTATGATTGCCAATGAGACAACTCCCCACAAGAGATCAAATGACACAGAAATTAACAACTATTGGTCACCGTACGGCCTTCAACAATAAGCAAAGCCAATACCGCATAGTCATCTATAAAAGGCACCGAAATGACAAATGTAAAATTCAAACGAGAAAACTAACGGCCTTATTTATGTGAAAAATAATGAACGAAAAACAAATATGTTACACAGCAACAGTACAACATAAGAACAAACTATAAAAATCAGTAGAAAAAGACTTAACTCATCAGAAGGATACAAATGGAAAAATATCTAACAAAAACACAAAATCAGACTTACATCTAACGAACAAAAATGATTCGAGCGTCACTGATGAGACTTTTGAAGACAAAACGCGCGTCCGGCGTACTAAATTTCAACCCTGGTATCTATGATGAGTTTATTATTATGACATACGGACGATATGTCACACCATGATTTTAAAACACTTTCGTTGTACCTAATTCACACCAGCTTATTCATCTGTAAATTTACAAATATTTTGAAGGATTTTAAGAAATTTTTTTCACGATTGTTTTTATTCTCAGTCAAATAATGTGTTTTATAAGATAGCAACGGGAAATTTTACATTGAACATTGAGACAGTGGTGATATTTTCGATAATATTCACAAACTGTGCATTTAAAAACTGATCAAAAGAATTTCGAATGTATATAATAATAATAAAGCTTCGTTTCATACTGCATTATAACACAGAAAAAATAATGAAATTCGTCGACATAACAATTTAGTTTTACAACGCACAATAGCATTTTTTTGGTATTTAAGACCAGTTTTAATTTAAGATTAAATATTTGAAAAGCAAATTTGCATATTAGCGTTATAAAACTCTTGTTATATAATTCTAATCCGATGGTTTATTTTACTGATCTCGAGTTGCTTTGTGGGTGATGCATGTATTGCAAATTTTGTTCTTATGGTTTGCATATGCAAAGATATAGCTTGAGTTTTATACATCGATTAACTATTCTTGACACTTATTTGACACTCTTATTTTCTTTGTGTAAATCAAAAATTCACCTACGATATATCCAAAAGTACTTTGTTTCACATAAATAAATATAATACTTTTTTTTCTTATTAACAAAAATGGTGTCGTTTTTACTTACCATGGTCTTCATCCTCGATTAAAACTTCCTTAATGTCCTCGTTTTATCTATTTATTTTTTTTGTACTTGCATGTTTTTTTAAATTATAAAGGTTATCTTTTATTTGAGGTCAGATAGTTTGCATGATTACATTAACTTTAGAATTTGCGGTTGAGATATTTAACTCTATTTTCTACCTCATTTCATTCGTACTAAAATAAATATTTTCTGATCTAAACAAAAATAAACAATAAACAACAATATGGGTTGTGCTTTTGTTACAAAGATCGCATAAATTTTATATAATTAAACAAATCAACAAAACAATAAAGATCATATATATGTATCAATGTCAACATATTATATAATTCCATAAGTATCAAGCGTACAAAGCTACTACTAGAAAGACGCGGAGGGAGGGAAAGCTAACGCAAAACAAGATGAATATGCTAACAACACATCCTTTCCAACTGTGTAACAAACGTCGCATTAATCAACAGACCTAAACAAATTCCTTATATACACTCAACCAAAACCACCCGTGCAAAAACATTACCCGGGAAAAATACCAAGTAAGGGAAACCCCCTAAATGAAATAACAGAAAGCAAAGAAAAAGACTCATTTTCTACATCATTTCATTCGTACTAAAATAAATATTTTCTGATTTAAACTAGAATAAACAAGAAAATGGGTTGTGCGTTCGTTACAAAGATTGCATTGCAAAAAGGGGGGAATAATTTAAAAAAGAAGGAATTACAAACCTAAATTTAAAGATATCAAAAGTTTCTGTTCAATGCTATCCTTGATATAACCGGCCTTAGCTCTGTCTGTAGCCCAACGCCCGTTTACTTTGAGTAGGCGGTCAGGAACCTTGTTATTAGCAACGGCCGAAACTCCCCCACTTTTAAGACTATAAAAGGTGTAAAGAGAAGTATCTAAACCTATTTTTTTAAGTGCTGACAGTAAAATCTCCCTACATCTGGTATACGAAAGGGGGTTTGACTTATTAGTAGCTTTGTACTCACCCGAAGTTTTCATTAAGTTTATGGCAGTAAAGAGAAATTCGTCTGATTTCTCTATAATACCTAGGCCTGCTGACGCAATGTATTTTCTTAACCTGAAAACAGGATAAAGATCGTTACGTGTGATTGCAATAATAACTGAATTACCTCTCCTGTATAAATCAGTTTTACTTTTTGAAATTTTAATCTCCAAAACATTTAATTGAAAATCCAATTCAGAAATCCGAATATTAGCTAGTTCACTTTATCTTAAAAAAAAAACAGAAAACCCGGGAAGACACAAGACACAAGTGCGCAAAATAATAAATTATGTTTTTCTAACGTATAGTACTGAACTAATTTCAACAAAATATCTTTAGTAATTGGCTCCTTTTTGTTCAAAGGTTTGCTCAACATTCGTTTTCCGCCTTCCAGAATAAGTGTAAGAAAATCATCTAAACAAGGATTAATGTTGAGGAAAATCATATGTTGCCAAAAAAATTAGCTTCCAAAACTGAAACGGACACTTTTTGTTGTATAAGTCCTCCCAAAAACAAAGCAACTGAAGGGAAAACGGTAGTATTTATTCTTTCATAGGCGACATTTTCTAAATTTACTACTTTATAATAAAAACCTGGACAAAACAGTTGAGTGTGGTATTAGTACTTTATTATTCTGTTTCATAAATTGAAGTCAAATAGTATTATGACCAATTTCCAACGGAGCTTGTTTATGGTATCCATGCCCACCGTCATTTTACATCAAATTTATTAAAATTTGGAAGTCTCTTCGAATAATTCTCAAGAAAATATTTAAATGGGTTTCAAAATTCATCTTGTAAATATACACACTGCAGTTATTCATGAATAAATAAAAAAATATATTATACCCTTACATCACAGCGCTCCTAAGCTGACTTCCTTCACCTGCCTTGGGTACACAAAAGGCGAACCTTAAGCTGGGAAAATGTAATACTACTTTTTTTCCCTGAAGACACGGATGCCGGTAAAAAAAGAAAAATAGTTCTGAATACACCATTTCCGGAATTTTTGAAAATAAAAGTCATATTTTATGTTGGTTGCTGTCGATCTAGCATATTTAACTATGGCAGGAAGAGCGTGTAGAGATCTAGACAAGCTAGGATGAGACTTGTATTTCTTCAATTCTTCCCAGTGGCTAACCAAACGTGTAGCATCTGTAAAACATATCAGAATAATTAATGATACGGGCATATGAACGAGAAAATTAATCATAAGTGATAACAAATATAAATAAATATGCACATGTTTATGTGAATATTTAAAAGTACAACCATACTATAAACAAAATAGATCAAGGCAAACCCTCTATTCATAAATAAGAAAGTGAAATCGTACATAAATTTTCAACTTTTTAAAGTGCAAAACTCTCTTAATTAGGAGTACAGTTCTCCTTAAATAAATATTCCATATGTACGAAAACAATAGAGAGTACAGTCCTCTTTTAAAGGTAGCACAGTTCTCCACAAATAAACAGTCATAATTTGTATTAATATACATGCATTAATAGCTTTTAACAATAAATAAAGAGTTCAGTCCTCTCTTGTTATAATTCAAAACCAAAATAGAGGCGTAAAATTACATGAAAAATATTCAAATGCTATTAGAGTCGAAACGAAAAACTAAGACGTTACTTTGAAAAGTCTGAGTAGCAAAAAGACTAGATTGATCGGAACCAGTTGTAAAAAAGTTCGTAGGATATTTGTGTTCTACATAGTCTTCAATAAAAGGTAAAAATTTTCCATTCAAATCAACGATCGACGGCAAAAAAGAGGTCGATATCCATTTAGGCACAACTACTGAACTTGTACACCTTTAGCTCTACAAAAAATTAAATGTCTAATCGTCCTGTTGATCAAATGTATAGGTGGAACTATCAAGCTATTCTCAAGTTGCCATTTGTGAGCGAAAGCGTCAACCCCGCTAGTGCCTGGCGTCCAGAATTCAATTTTTCAACTTTGTAATTGTTGCTACCAGCAAATTGATCGCAGGTAAAGGGACCCCATTATTTATCAAATTATCTGAATATACGCTGATGTATGCCCCATTCGTCAAAGTCAAAGATCTTACTTACAAAATCAGCAGTACAATTTTGAAGTCTGGGCACCCATGCAACTGATAGGTCAATATTAAAAAGAAGACAAGTATTAAATATAGAGAACGCCAAGCACTGAAGCGGTGACTTCATACTGCCAACTTGAGCAATCTCATGACATTCTGATTGTCTGAATATAGTTTTACAAATTCGTTTTGAACCCATTGTCTTCAGTAATAAATCTACAGCTTTTAGCTCTCTAAATGTTGAGCTTTGTGCTTTATCAAAATCATCCCACCTACAGTGAAATGTTTCGCTTGAATCTTCTAGTAAAATACCAGCTCCATCGTGGTCACTTGGATCCGTGTTAATAATCCGCTATAGTAGTCTGAACCAAGGGGAAATAACTCTATTTGATAAACTATCAATATTTTGAGACCAAAAATGAAGCTCATCTATAGCTTCAGCAGAGAGCCTAATTTTTTCGTCCCAAAAAACCTTGATGGCGATAAGCATGGATAACAGTCTACTAAAAATCTGACAAATAGAACCGTAGGCAAGTCTCATAGAAATGATTGAGCTGACAACGGATACAAGTTCCCTAACCGTAGCAAAAGACTTAAACCTAAGGTTATGGACTTTAACGCGGAGAATTTCAAATTTATGAACAGGTATATCAATGTCCCCATCCAAAAGATTCAAGGTAAAACCCAACCAATCCAAAACTTGAACCTGGTGCCATTGACTTTTTTCCTAATTCACAAGAAAACTTGCGTGTTTAAGATCATTTTGTAAATGCACACTTGCCGACTTACAAATCAACACAAATCCACCCTTCGTCAAGAAACATGATTATTTGTACACCCTGAGACCTCCAAAAGGAGACTAAGGGTCTTGATGTTTTTGTAAAAATATAAGCAGCGCTGCAAAGGCCAAAATGCAAAACTGAAAATACGACAAATCGTGTCTTATTATTAAATTTCCAAGAAAAGCCTAATTAAGTATGAAATTAGGGTGGATATTTAAATAATGATATCTGCTGTTTAGGTCAAATTTTAGCATAAAATTTCCCTTTTTAGCATAAATAGGGCCTTCTAATGAACCTTCAAACTTAATCTTTCTATTAACAATACAAGCATTAACATGCCTTAGGTTTAGAACAAGTCTGGATTTGTTTGTTCTATTGTACAGACACCGACAAAGGATTCACACAGTAAAGAGGCTCGAAAACCTCGCTGACAAGATCTTTTTTCAGAAGTTCTTTAATGGCGATTTCTGTAGAATCTGAATGATCGTAAGCTGATTTATTATTTCTAAGAAATGCTTTTTGCGGCAAAGTATCAAACTCCAACCTGTTACCATACTCGATAACGTTTAAAATAAAGTCTGATGGTTTTAATGTATTTCTCCAAAATTCTAAACAATTCTTCAGACTATTTTTTACAGTTTTTGACTTTAAACGAATATTTCCAACAAAATCAGATTGTTCATCTGAAAGTATTAAATCAGAATACTCAACTTTACTGCTGTTTGTTGAAAGATTCTGGACTGATGACCATAGCGGGAGCTGGTTGTCTACGCTGCAATTGAGCTGTGTAGGGACAGAACTTGGCGAAATGCCCGGGCAGGTAACAGTAGTGGCAGGTAACGGTGGCTCTTGGAGCGAAGTTTTGTCTGTAACTTGGAAAAGGTGCTCTTGGAGTTAAGTTATGGCACTGGCCGTAGATATGAGAGCCGAGAAAAAGCTGGTTATTTGACATGCCGTCGAAAATTCCCGGTCTTGTACGCTGAAATGATGATTGTGCGGGTGGATTTCTTGCGTAGGGAGTCTGTCTCTTCTTGGAGGCTCTAAAAATGGCTGCCCGTAACTTTGAGGCGTCTTCACTATTGTCAGTAATATCAGAATCATAGTATTCCTTAACCGTCCCCAACCATATCGGTCTGCTATTCTGAGTACTTGTGTATCTTATTACGATGAGTAAGAGCCTTCTTCTCCGAATCAATCAAATCGAAAACTTCTTTGACACTTCCCCTTGACAAAAAGTTCTTAATGCGGTTCAGATTACTGAGTCTATCTTGATTGAATGATAACTGGATTTTATTCCCTTCACCTTTAAACTGCGTGTTTGTCTGCAGTTTTTCTTGCAACTCTGATTCTGTTTGTCTCAAGCAGTGTCTATTTTGGTATTGAACAAACTAACTGCATCTACTGCACTGAAATCATTAACGTCTTAAGGATTCTGCACATTTGTATGGTTCTCGGATATTTCTTCGACTGAGTCGGACATTTCACGAAAACAAGACTTTTAACTATAAAGCTAACGCAAAACAACTGGGGCGTATTTTTTTGTTCTTCGGTAGTGAGCCATAAGAGGTCCATTTCTGTTTTTTTGAATACGGAAGATCTTCTGGCTCTCTTCCACCTCTTCTTTTTTGATAGGTAGTTTAGACGGCAGAGGCACATAACAAACATGGCGTCGTTTAGTCTAAATGACATTAATAAATTTATGAATGCAGATATATTAGAATGTGAGCTGTGTTATAAACGTTTTTATGGTATGACAGTCTTAGTACTCATTAGAAGAACATCCCTGTAGGACGATAAGCTGGATAAATATAAGAACTACACGGACAATAACAGTTAAGGGACGACTATTTGATATTCTAGGGAAGAGAATTTGATTGATTGGTGTTTAACGCTACTTTCAACACTAAGTTGGGCTATTCCGTGGCGGTCAAATTAAATTTATAGATGAAGGATGGGTTAGACGAAGAGGGCATTATCAACTTTTTTAATCTGTCGCTAATTATGCCTATTTTTCAGCTCTTACCAGTCAACCATATTCATATATGAAATCCTCCTGTCACCCACCCCAATAAAAGGAATAAATTTCAAGTGATTTTTCTTCTTATTTAACACAAGTTTAACTTGATTGATTGTTTGTTGCTAATTTTTAACGCCCAGTGACAAATATGTCATGCATGTTCAGGACTCGGTTCAGGAAAACACAAGTTTATAAGTCAGGTATATGATATAAAAACGAAGAGATGTATGATTGCTAATGAGGCAACTATTCACCGGAGTTCAAATATGAAGTGGATGTAAGCAATTATAGGCAACCGTAATTAAGGCCTTCAACAATGACAAAACCCGATACTGTATTAAAAGTCGTCTATAATAGGCCCGACTTGAAAAGTGTGAGAAACAATTCAAACGAAAAAACTAATGGCCTAATTATACATAACAAAATAATTTACAAAATATCAAATATGAGTCGAGACATGAACCAACGACACCACTAAATTATAGGCTCCTGACTTGGGACAGGCACACAAAGAATATGGCAGGATTGATATAAAAACGAAGATTGCCAATGAGACAACCCTCCACAAGAAACCAAATGACACAGCAATTAACAGCTATAGGTCACCGTAGGGCCTTCAGCAATAAGCAAAGCCCATACCGCATATTCAGCAATAAAAGGCCCCGAAATCACAAATGTAAAACAATTCAAACGAGAAAACTAACGGTCTAATTAATGTACAAAAATATGAACGAAAAACAAATATGTAACACAGCAACAAACGGCAACCACTAAATTACAGGCTCCTGACTTGGGACAGGCACATACATACAGAATGTGGCGGGGTTAAACATGTTAGCGGGATCCGGCCCAACCCGCCCCCTAACCTGGGACAGTGGTGTAACAGTACAAAAACATTTTTGTGAGCGCTCAACCCTTCCCGAAGCTGGGACAGTGGTGTAACAGTACAACATAAGAACAACCTGCACAAATCAATTGCAATTAGATTAACTCAAAAGATCGGTACGAGACACAAAAAAAAACTTACATTAAAACAATAGACACAAAGCACCGAAATAAGAGTATTTGCAATAACAACTAGTACTGAAATAAATCTTGTTCTCCCAGACTGAAGTATCAATCAGTACACAACCAACGATAGTAAAAAAAAAAGAAAAAAAAAAACAGTCTGAGAAATGTCTGGTATACATTGTATACTTGCATATTGATACATATACAATGAAAATTTTTGAAAAGTGGTGGTCCGAAGGTTTTGACCATTGAAATATTGCAATAGAAATAATAGTTAGGAACAGAAGATTTTCTTCAAGAACCACCAGAGAAAAATGATTTTGAGAACTTTCCGATATCTTTGCTTTATACAAAAATAATCCAGTTTGGTTACTTTAAAAAAATTGGATAGACAAGATGTCCTTTAAAAGTTTTTGATCATATTCGACACAAACATTGACGAATTTTTGTGCAGTTTAAGATTATTCTTAAAAAAACAAATAGTGGGGGTTTAAGCCAGATTTTTCTAGCAAAATTGAGTAAGAGGAAAGAACAAAGAAAAATGTCACGAACAGAGCACACTTTTACAGTCATGTCTACCGGACGTATCTTTAATTTTCTATAAAATAATCGTAAACTTTATTTATGTCATCCAACATAACAACAATCTGCTATATTCGACGGCAAATTGAATTTTTGTTTTATTGATCTTCCGTAGAATATCTCCAGTAGAGGTCCAGATTCATTTTTTTGGACTCTTCACCAGAAGACATTCTGGAGATGTGCAGAAGAGACCAATAACACACGCCCCTGGCTAACAACACGTCCCTTCCAACTTTGTAACAAACGTCGCATTAATCGAACAGACCTATACAAATTCCTTATATATATATTCAACCAAAACCACCCGTGCAAAAACATTACCCGGGAAAATACCAAGTAAGGGAAACCCCTTAAATGAAATTACGGAACGCAAAGAAATAGATTGATCTAATTAACTCAATTACAGGTATTCAGAATTTAACAATGTAATCTTCCTTGTTTTGTTCATTTTTTGTATCAGTTATCAGATAGACTTAGTTCTCTTTGACGAGCTAAACGACCTTTTCGTTATTAATTTAAACAATAAGCCTTACTTCTTCTTGCCTTAGTCTGGCTTGTAACGCATAAAAAGTTAAATCACAAAAATACGGAACTCCGAGGAAAATTCAAAACGGAAAGTCCGTAACCATAACTGTATTTTGAAGTTGTTTTTTTTTTTTTTTGAATGATGAGTCTTTTCTTTTTTTAATTATGAGACTTAAGAAAAACTGTTTTGGAATATATCAATGCTTTGAATAGCCTGAAGCATCCAAAAATAAAAATATGTCAACTTTCGATTTATGTTTACTTCTTAAGCCTTACAATCTATTCTAAGTAATATACATAATATCCTACCTTTTTTATATAAAGAATTTTGTCGTGGCGTATATATCTATTATTGCAACACTTCTGTATATTAAAGAATTGACCATGTTATACCTGCAGCAGTTAAATATTTTGCCTTTATTATAAATGTCACCTATAGGAATGAACTACTAGATGTAAGGACTACTAAAAGAAAGATTCATTGATCCAGTAAATTATTTGTATTTATTCATTGCAATTCTATGAGGTAATCGAGGACATTTAAATGTTTCCGCCTTATATCAAGTTGTAACTATAGATGAATTAATATACAAACCCTTTGACGTTTTGTTTCCCTCATTTTGTGTAAGAAGTTCGTCCTTTGTGTCTTATCGACCAATTATTATAAAAGAAATTCAATATAAAAACAGCAATACACGTAGGTTGATTTAAATCTTTGACATAAATTGATAATTAATATTTACACTTCAATCCTATTTAACCATTCAAAATGCGTTGACTGTATATATTAATGTGATATACAGTCACTGACCGTATATTGCGTTAATCCACGCATACCACTTTAAAAGTGGTAGTGAAGTATACACGCTTCCGCGAGGCGGTCTCCGACATATACTCATTTCATTATGCAACAAAGCATGGTCTTGTTCTTATTTATTGAGAAAGTTGTAAAATTTCTAATATTAATTTCTCATTGTTAATATTCGATACTGAAATATGCCGCACTAGTTCACTCGACAACATGAACTGCATGATATCTACAGAAGTGCAACCTATATTGGATGAAAAAAGATGTAGAATTTCATCAAATCTGGTTTATCTTCAGAGATTTTAATGAAATAAACTAAAATATAAAGTTTTATAAATATTTCATGAAGATTGAGAAAATCCTAGGCCTTAAATATGATAACTCAGCATAATTTCACAGTTTACAGTATGCATAGTGTACTTAAGTCCTGTATGCAAAATGAATTCATAATATATGCATATAATATGTAATTTAAATTGTTAATAAGTGCTTATATTTACTCTTTGCAGTCATTGAAACTCATAGATCCTTGATGAACATTGCTGTTAGGGTGTTTTTGTTCTGTTGAAAACCCATGAGTAAGCCGCAACACCTGACTGTGCTTTCTTGTGACCGCGGCATAAAAAATACAAGCTAGAGATACAAAATTACCTCTTTAAATCTAAAAATAGTATGTTCTATCCTAAGAATATACTGAATATTCCATATACTCAGAAACAGCAGAATTATTTAGCGAATTTGAGGCCCCAGTCTAAAAAAAAAACAGAGAAAAATACCTAACCCGTGGGTGATAAAACAGATAATTTCACCTGTAAAGGCGATGATTTTATTATGATAAAGGTCTTTTGAATAGAAAACAACAACCTTGCTTGGAAGCTATGCAAAAAACAGATTTAAGAAAATGTCGTTTATGATTTTAAGATTTATCGATGCGGGGGAACAGCCCGTAATGACACAAAAGTTGTAATTAAACGCATGCATTCATAAAGTGGACATAAAAACGAATTTGTATCACATTCATTGAAAATATGTAATTTACTAATTGGCTGTTTGCATATAATTAATGTCTACCATTGTTTTTAAATATAGATAAGGGATTATCAAATGTATACGATCTATAATTCGCTGATTTCGATTGATATAATGCTGATTGTGTGTGATTGATTCTATGTCCTTGCAACATATATATATCTTCGCCACCTTAGACCAACACAGTCTACTGCTTATGTGAGTACCACATTGACGTCTTGTTTTCACTTCTGATTTTAAGCAAAACAGGACAGAACTTTCTAAAAATGAATTCGAATGTTTAAATATAAAACGTAGATTAAAGTTGTTTTAAGGTTGCACTTTGTAAATACAGATGTTTCTCAAACCACGCCTCTTTTGGGGAGATATAGATTATTCATAGATAATTAATTTTGTTTACATACTGGTTCCCAGTTATGATCTCCTATATTTTGACTGACCTTTGAAAAAAATTGTAGTGCATATGAACTTTCCATTCTAGGATATGATTTTTTTCAAAACTTCATAGTAAAAGTGGTACAGTTTTAGCCGTAAAAGGAGTTCCTATGGAAAATTGCATTGTCAATATTTACAGAAATGCAACCTATAAGCCTGTTAGGTAAAATGTACTTAATTACGTATGGAACCTTTGTTTTTGTAAGGGTTGGTATGTGCTTCGTATCGATCTGATAAGTTAAGCTCTTTTCATCTGATTTTTATAGTTTGTTCTTATGTTGTACTGATACATCATTATCCCTGGTTAGGGGAAGGGTTTGGTGCTAGCAAACATGATTAACCCCACCACATTCTGCATGTGCCTGTCCGAAATCAGGAGTCTGTAGTTCAGTGGTTGTCGTTTGTTACTGTATATCATATTGGTTTTTCCGTTTATTGTTTTGTACATAAATCAGGCTGTTAGTTTTTTCGTTTAAATTGTTTTACATTTGTTTATTTCGTGTCTTTTTATAGCTGACTATGCGGTATGGGTTTTGCTCATTGTCGAATGCCATACGGTGACCTATAGTTGTTAACGTCTATGTCATTTGGTCTCTGGTGGAGAGTTGTTTCATTGGCAATCATATCGCATTTTCTTATTTTTATACTTATCTTTTTCCAAAGAAATCCAATTGATATAATAATTTTTATTCAAACTATACAATGAAAACTCATTTAAAGTCAATGAACTTGTTTCTTCTTAAATCAACAAATAGCTTACGAAAACTAGCTATCAAATTGAAAACGTCTTTGCACCGAGTGAAACTAGAATTTTAAATCTCTCTCAAAAATGTTTTAAAATATTACTCTGTCTTCTTCATCTTCTGGATAATCAATGTATGTATCATCGTTCATTATATATCTCATATCGCGAGTAATATTCCTTACTTCGGTGCTCGATATCTGAACAATAATAATGCTATTTTTTCCTTGTCTTGTCACCACGATATCTTCTAGCGCCATATTAAATTTATACATACACCATTTTGACTTAAAATTTTTTTGTGAGAATACAAACAAATTTTCAGCTGTTGTGAAAAGCATTTGCTATATTTTTTCGGCAATGGCACTTCCTGCGATAAAGTCTCTATCATGAATGCACAAGCCCAATGCTCTCCGTTTCTCGAGAAATTCTATTATGTAGTCTTTCGGAAACCATCTGCCCTTTTCCGCGTATGATATAAAAACATGGAATTGAAAATTGCATTCAGTCTTTAAACGAGTTTATTAATGGGTAATTGTCAATTTTGTTAGGTGTTTCAGATTGGGGAAATTGTCAAAGTATCCTCTACTTAAGTTCTATTTGGTAGATATTCCCGTTATTCGCAATAATGTGAGATTTTTCAGAGTAGAAAATCCTTTGCCAAAATGTTTAAAAAATACTTTTATATGCTCGTTTTGTGATATCATATCTGGAGGAATGCCGTCGTATGGTTTGTTCTCAAATATAGACTAAATGTGTTTCTCTTATCTTCCTGTTTGTAATGGATTTTAATATTGCTAAATTCATTAACACCCAGCATAAAAACCAATTGATAGATATTTTCAACAATGTCTGCCTCTACTATGCCTTTGAACGAGGTAGTGTTTCTCAATAAATCTTATTTTCTAAATGTACAATGGAAAAACATACACCTGAAAATAATCTACTAAAAGTTGTTTTGATATTTAAATTCTCAAGGTAACTTTTATCGTTTTAGACGTTTTTATTCTCTTTTAATTGTTAACATCCTTCCAAGTCTGTCGTTTTGTTCGATATACGCATGTTTGTAGTGTTTATTTTATTTCTCATGATCGCAGTATTCATATCCTAAACTAGATTATAACAAGTCAACAGATCATAAAAAGAAAGACGCCTAATAAAATTACCACAAATATTGTGATTTTGTTTCGGGTGTAATTATTCTTTGAACTTGAATAAAATTTAAAATGTAATTTTACTCCAACGTTTAATAATGATATAATAAATCGATAATCAGGTTGAGACAAGGTCTTCCAAATAATTTTTTGAGCTTGATTTAAGTCACTGCCAACTATCTTTAAAAGGTATCAGTGGAAGAAATTGAAGTTTTTGGCATTTGTCTGAGGTATAAATGAATAAAGAGTGGACCTTTAAACATGGATATTAAAATTAACAGTAAAACTTTACATTGGTATTTTGCATTAATGAATTAAATGACATTCTAAGTTATTCAGGAATAGAGGTGGAAGGTATGATCTCTTGGAATAGCCTTGGTTGGTTTGTAAAGAATATCATAACTAGACTAAGGTACATGGTATTCAGAAAATAAAAACAAATTTCACATTTAACGAGTTACCATGGCATCAAACCATGACAAAATTTTGATATTTTGTAAAAACTTTTGATTTTCCTTGTTTTCATCAAATTTTAAGTATATCTTTGATTGGCAAAGTATATAAAGAAACAACTTTATGTTTGGTGAGATTATGTCAATAGTTATGATAAAGCTTCTCTTAAATTATTTTGTTGTTTCTTGGATGCACTCAATGTTTCCAAAATGGAAATAACAACGGAAAACTGCATAAATTCTGTATTTTTCATTGTTTTTATGAAAACGCTACTTATTATGACATAAATGTGACGTCATTATATAAAAATGTTTATGTTTTTCATTCATATTTCTTGATTCTATGCATATCCAAACATTATTTGCCAAACTTTTTATTTCCTTTGGCCAAAACTGGGCCTTAATGCCCCTACTCCTTTGTGCGATTTGTTTATAATAAATAAAAAAAAAAAAACAAAAAAAAAACAAACTGCAGTTACAGAAACAACTTGATCAAAGATGTATACAGGCATTAAATTTTTACCAAATATATGTTATCACTATCTTGATCGCTATAAGGTTATTTTTAGAAAATGAGTTCATGTTTTTATCGAAATTGCCACATTACCTTTTATGACATGCGGAAGGTGTGCCCTATCCTGATTTTAAAACACTTTCTTTGTTCCTAATTCACACCAACTTACTAATCTGTAAATTAACCAACACCATAAAATAGTTTAAAATAATTTTTTCAAGTTTGTTTTTTACCCTCATTCACAAAATATGTTCTACATGAGGAACAAATGAAAAAATATACAATGAGCATTGAGACAGTGGTAAATTTTCA